CCCTAAACCCCAAAACTCTAAGCCCTAAAACCCTAAGCCCTAAACCATAAACTATAAACCCGAAACCCTAAACTATAAACCCTAAACCCTAAACCCTAAAACCCTAAGCCTTAAACCAGAAACCATAAACTATAAACCCTAAACCCTAAAACCCTGAGCCCTTAACCCTAAACCCTAAACTATAAGCCCTAAACCCTAAAACCCTAGACCAGAAACCATAAACTATAAACCCCTAAACCCTAAAACCCTGAGCCCGTAACCCTAAACCATAAACTATAAACCCTGAACCCTAAAACCCTAAGCCCTTACTTAACCCTAAACCATAAACTATAAACCCTGAACCCTAAAACCCTAAGCCCTTAACCCTAAACCATAAACGATAATTAAACCCTACACCCTTAAACCCTAAACCCTAAAACCCTAAGCCCTAAACCCTAAACTATAAACCATAAACCCTAAAACCCTAAGCCCTAGACCAGAAACCATAAACTATAAACCCTAAACCCTAAAGCCCTAAGCCCGAGAGCGAGAGAGAGAGAGAGAGAGAGAGAGAGTCCCAGGTGTCCAGGTCACGTCAAAGTCTTGCTGGAGAAGAGGGCAGACATGCAAAAGCATTTTGCAATGATGCCTGTCACAAGAGGGTTTAGGGCTTGGAGTGAATTTGCACTGATGCCCGGTGCACAAAAAAACGCATTTGGGGGTTTTGGTAGGCTAGGGGTTTAAGTCTGCGCTTTAGGGGTGCGGAGTTTCGGGTCTGAAACACTAGGACTCTACTTGTATGTCCAACTACCTTCTCTTGTATACATCCGAAATTCCCAATTCGCTCAAGCCCTGAGCTCAGATCTTTTACGGGCCCACAAAGAAAGGCATAGCCCTGAACCCCAAACCCTTCCCTAGATGGTCTTGTGGGACTTATCACTCCATAGTGGTAGTCTATTTGGAGCCTTTGGGTTCTATGTGGACTGTGTAAACCTAAAAGCCTAAAGTCGCAATCATACTGTATACGATATACCATCTACTATATACGATCTATATACTGTACACATATCTGTACATACATGTGTATATATACATATATATTTATTTATTTATTGATTTATTTGTTTATTTACTTATTTATATCTGTGTAGATATATGTACATATATCTATATAGATATTCATATGTGTTTATATATATATATATGTGTATATATATACATATATGTAAGTTTTGCCTAGAGTATACCCAAAATCCGTGATCGACAACACTGGCCGAGGAACGGCATCGCTTCTCTTGCGAGCACAGAGACAGCCTTGGCTCTGTTGGAGAGTCGCTGCGACCCCACGGACATCGGCGAAGCGCCCCGGCGCGTATATCTGTAGTACCCCTAAGGGTCCAGGTGCCCAAATAGCAGGGTTGTCGGCCCCAAATTCATACTCTGAATGGCTTTTTGCCCCGAAATTTCGATTATTTGAGCAATTACTTCAACCCTTACCTTACAGAACCCCCTTATTAAGTTCCTTGAAGGGGCCCTACCAGTACAGGGTTGTTGATGGGTTTAGGGTTTTGGCCGGCTTCAGGTAAAGGCCTTCGGGTATACCGCATATGAAGGTCGGACTGGGTTCAGGTACTTGGAGGATCATGGGACTTAGTAAGTAAGGTTATAAGTACCATAATAGGGGTTATAAGTAATTGTAAGTATAGTTACCCTATTTATAACCCAAGTTACTAAGTCCCGTGATCCTTGAAGTAGGATTTCACGGAAGCTCTCGGAATTTCTAGGTTTTGATAGGCTGAGACCTCGCAATCAAGTTCAGAGGGATCCTGTCAGCGATAAGGGATTGTATAGGTCGCCTTAAACCCCGGTTTTGGGTTGCCCTAATCCCAGGCCTTAAGCCACAAATAAAACCCTAGACTCTGAATCCTAAACACGAAGAAACTCTATAAACTTCAAACCCACCAAACAACCTAAACCCCAAACCCAGCCAAAAGCCCAAAATCCAAGCAACCCATAAAAACTTGACCCCTAAACCCCAAAGATACCCACCTTTGAAACTCTCAAGTCCAACTGCTGATAATGGCTGTACGGTGGTTCCATTCAAGCTAAGAGTACTCAGAGGCTTATGCTTTCATTTCGCATGGGTACTTGTTGCCGATTTTTGCGCTTCTTAGATATATGAGATAAGGTTTCCTTTGTAGGAATCTTTCAAGATGCTTTACTCACCACAAAAGAGGAGTAGAGATGGACTCACCGCATAAGAGGAGAAGAGATGGTGCCGGTGCTGTTGATGCCCGTTGTTGTGCATGGTCTTGATGGTGGTTTCACTCCTGTCGATGAAGGGTATGGCCGCGCAAATGACATACACATGACGATGATGATGGCAGAGGGATATGAATGATATGAATATGATGATAAGCACGAGACATGACTTGTCTACATGCACTGATGGGTTGTTGTATGCCAGTGCGCCTGATTGCACGACATCGGTAGTGATGATCTTTGTTAATGTCTACAGTGACGATGGAGGTTGTGAGGGCGATGATGGTTGCACATACTTGACGAACATTCTTCGCCTCAAACCCGAAACCCCACACCATCCTAAACCCTCAAATCCTGCAGGCTCGAAGCCTCAATCGAATCCTCAATTCACGCCTGCAGCTGAGGCGAAATATGGACCATTGCACGCACTGGCCTTGTACTCCCGCAGCAATCGCTACGCCGTGGAAACGGCAAAGCCACTCGTTCTGGTCCTAAAGAAAGCATGTAACGCCCCCCCCCCCCCCCCCCCGCCAGACTGAAAGTTCCCATCTGGAGACGTGAGTCCTGCACTGAACCCTGCGCCTTCGCATCCTCAAGATCCCCAGCGCCCTACTAGCCGTCTCAGCACTGCAAGTCTGCTTAGGCTTAGTATCCCGTATGATCCCTCCAAGAATTCCAGAAATCCATCTTGCCAATCCTGCGTGCTGAGCGTAGATCCCTGGATTCTAAACTCCCAGGGCCTACACCCCGTAAGCCCATCCAAAAATCGTGTAAACCCTCAACCCTAAACCCTACCCTTCAATCAAAGCCTCAACCGCTTCAAATCCCAAAACGCGAATCCGACGCGGAGTCTCAGAACCCCAACCACAAAAACCCCAACGCCCTTCTGTAGGGGCCTAATTTTAAAGGTAGTTACTAAATGATTACCTTACCTATACTGTTTTGGGGGGCTTTTTATTATGGTTATAGTATAGTACCCCAACACCCTGTTCTAATTATGAATGCCCCTCTATTACATCCAGCACCTCCCAAGTACCCGTTTTCAGGCCTCCTGGTCCCCGAAGCAGGGTAGGCTCTAAGGGGGCCCCACCACCCCCACTTTGCCCTTCAATAATAAAGCGCTTTTCGTCGTTAATAGAGGGTAGTGGGGGGGGACTAGCTGAACCCATTCTGAAACCATGCTGTTATCATGTCTTTAGGGACCTATTTCCATTAAGGTAGTATCCTAATCATGGGACTTAGGAAGTAGAGTTGCAATTGGGCTTATATGTGCCCTTAGTCATATAGGTGCCTAAATAATTACCCATACTATATCGGGGGTTCCTTATGACAATTATAGTACTAGTATAATATACCGTAAGGGGTTACAACCCTAAGGGTCCAAGTACCATGCAATCATACTTTTTGATGATATAAATCCTGCATTACCTTCAGGACCCTAAACTATGGGAATTATGGTATATTCCTTCTTATGGGTTATGCCGGATTTATATCATCAACCGTAATTGGGGTTCTAAGTGCCTACTTAAAGGATCATGGGAATTAGTAACTAGGGTTATAAAGAAAGTAACTATACGTATAATTACTTATAGCCCCAGTTAAGGTACTTATAACCTTACTAAGTCCCGTGATCCTTTAAGTAGGGTTTTAGAAACCCTCAAACCCTTAAACCCCCTAAACTCATATAGAAGCCCTTACAGAATCCCACAAACCTCCCCCAAGTAAGTAGGGTAGGAGCCTCTGGGGGCTCTATTCTTCCAGGCTCCTCCTTCAATACCGGGCGGCAACTGGTCGAAGAGCTCGTTCTTCTCTTCTCTTCGGTTTAGGGACGCCTAGGAACCCTTAGATGTGCAGTTCACCAGTGCAGCGGGTAACGGTCTTCTAGTTTTTGTTGTTTGGGTTCGGGGTTTACGGTTTAATTTCGTTTGTGCTGCTATATTTCTAAAGACAACCTCGGGGGTTTCCCTGGTTTGATTTCGGATTAGTCCCGTGAACGGGGTTGGGGTCCCTTGGATCCGAGTTTGGGGTTTGTGAAGGTACCCAGAGGCTCCAAATAGACCACCATTCTGGAATTAGGTCCCAAAAGACCATCCCTATTATGGTTTTAAGGGCCTACTTACTTCCATAATGGTAGTATACCAGGAGCCCTCTGCCATGGGGTCTCCGGCATTTCGAGTTTAGGGGCTGGAACGTAGGCGTGATGGACGTCCCTGCATCCCAGATCCGGCACGCTGGAGTTGAAAATAGGCCCTGCATTCATACACTGTTTTTCTACAAGGGCCTGGAAATCGTGTCCTTGCCTTGCCGTAGTAATCCTTGTTACGGGAGCGGGTTTGTTGATTGCGGGTCGACGTTAGGCTTAAAGTCCTGGTCTGGCGTTTTGGCTCAAGGGTTCGCAGCAGGGCCAAGTGAAGGCTTAGTCGTACAGGCCGCTCAGAAACTGCAACCAAGAGCCCGAACAACCAAACACCCCCCAAGTACCCTTTGAGGGAGGCTCTACAGTCGCTAATGGTGGGTACTTTGGGGATAGGCCTCAGGGTTTTAATAGTGGGTAAAGAGGTTCGAATAAAGAGTAGTTGGGGGTGTTGGACATTACCATTGCTCAGAGTTCGGAGAGCCCGTTGCGATGGCTTTAGTTTGGATACTGCCCCCGATCAGTGACAGACTGTTGAATAGTACCATGTGTTTATAAATACATATATATATAATACTGGATATATAAGTCGCTCAATAGTACACTTAACATCGCCTGTTGCCGTATGGAGGCAGTACCAAATCTGTACTAATTGTTAACATTTTCGAACGGCCACAGTCTCTCTGAATTGAGGCTTCCTCTGTCAAAGGTCCTGCCATGTTGTGGGGGATGCCATGGATACCCCATGAGTGTGAGATTCCGGTATCCTAAGCCCGAGCCTGCCGGTAGAGCCCTGTGTAAACCTGAAGCCCTAATCGTCAATAGGAGACTTTGGTTCTGTCTGAGGGGGGCATCGTTTGGATGAGGGTTCATGCCACCCCCACTTGATGCCAAAGTTGTTTGGGGCTTTGGGGCTTCATAAGGGTGTGAAGCCATGGCGGGGCAATCCAATAACATGAACGCGAAGTTGCTCAATGTCTGGCTGGTTTCCGGTAAGAAGCTCGTTTCCCTTCCTGCACAAGAGCTTTCAGACGTGCGAGAATGTAAACGGCACCTGCAGACACATTGCGGGGCGTCGCGATTTAGACAGCGGCTCCTTCACGAGGGAACGAATCTTGCTGACGATGTGGACCTGTGCTCTGTCCTTCCTACGGATGTGCAGCTAGTTTTGCTCCCGTTTGTGCAGTTCTCTCTCGAGAAAGCAAGGGAACTCCGTAATGCCGTTCAGAGTCACCAAGTGAGAATTCTGGAGGACATGTTGCTAGAGCCTGCAGATCCGAACATGGCGGAGGATCCTGAATCTCCCCCGCTGTTCGTGGCTGCAATTGAGGGCCATGAAGAGATCACCCGTTTGCTGTTGGAGGCCGGTAGTGCTCTGCATGCCGGTGACGCCTTTACACCGTTATGTGCAGCATGCTACTTGGGTCACGCGGAAGTCGTGTCCTTGCTGTTGGAAGCTGGGGCTGAGAAGGATGAAATCCGCGCCGATGGGACGCCGCTTACATGGGCAGCCGGTGGGCCAATTGATCGCCAGAAGCAATTGAAGCAAACTGTTGATGTGCTGCTGCAGTCTCGTGCGGACGTGAACAAGGTCGATGGAGCCTTGCACACACCCCTGACTGCTTCTGTAGAGTTCGGTCGTTCCGAGGTGGTGAAGATTCTCCTCAGTGCTTCAGCAGAAACCAGCGTCCTTTGCCCAGGAACCGAACAGTCGCCTCTCTGCCTGGCTTCCGAAAGGGGGGACGTGCAAACGCTCCACGTGCTGCTAGAGGCCGGTGTCGACAAAGACGAAATCAGCGCCCGCCGAACACCTTTGACCTCGGCAGTCGCTGCAGGCGAAAGGGAGGCCGTTCAAGCTTTGAGCAAGGCTGGTGCTAACTTGAACAAGGTGGATGGTGAGTTCTACACGCCTCTTACCAGGGCATTCTGGGGAGACCATCACAATATTTTGTCGTTGCTGTTGTCTGCAAATGCGGATGTAGACCTGGTGTGTCCGTGGACCAGCCAAACTCCTCTCTGCAACGCTGCTCGTACTGGGCGTGTGGAGATGGTGAGACTGCTGCTGCTGGCTGGTGCTGCCTTGGAAAGAAGAAGCTTGGGGAGCACACCTTTGACTTTGGCTGCCAGTGCAGGCCATGTGGAGATTGTGCGTTTGTTGATCATAGCTGGTGCTGCTCTCGACCGCGTTGATCGTTGGCGATACACGGCCCTGAATCGAGCACGGCAGAGAAACCACCACGAAGTAACGCGCTTGCTGCTGTTGGCTGAAACCACTGCGGTGTAATATGATATGGCGAGTGATTGTTGGGAGTAAAGCTGTTCTGTTCCTTAGGCTTCCGATATGATAAGCCCTTTTGCAAATACTCAACCTCGTGTGTTTGAAAACAGGTATTGCTTCGGGTGCTGGGCATGTTTGCAGATGTATGTAGGATTCGGCAGGACAAATGTCCTATGGTGTGGAAAGCAGAGCTACAGCCGAGCTTCTCAAGAGGCCACTTCGGAGATCTCCCATTGCTGCACAGTAACTTTTCGAAGCGCGCACAGGACTGGTTGCTTGTGGCGAACCCAATGCCGTGCCAATATGCCTGCCTTCGAAAACGGTTCGAGTCACTCAGGCAGTGCGATCAAATAGAGCTCGATCAACATGCATGTACCGAGCATGAGAGGGGGGCCTTTCCGTTGGGCTAATTATTAGCGATTCAGCTTCTCAGATTTGCCAGTTGATCGCATATAGTGCGTACATGCCATCTATACCCATGCAGATATTTGGGAACTTGTGCAAAGGCCCATAATATGAAAGCCCTCAAACTTAGGGTCTACCTAGAGGCTCATATCCTACTCCTTTTAAGGGTACCAGCTTTATGGTTAGGGTTTGTTATAAAAAAAAGTAGATACCCTTAGCAAAGGGTAGGGTATGAGCCTTCAGGTAGGGTTTAGGGTTTAGGATCTGGATCTGATGCTTGAAGGATTTATGGTTAGGGCTTAGGGGCTTAGGTCAAGAACCCCGCACATCTTAGACTCCAAACCCTTTCCCGCTAGACTTCGAACCTACAATCCTAGACCCTAAACCCTACCAGGCGGTTCTGAGTCTAAGTATTCGATAACCAGGGTGGGGTTCAGGGTGGAAGGCTTTTGGATGCCAAACTCCATTGTGAATGGTTTTTGGAACCCAAAGCCATACTATTGAATACTTGGACTCTGACGGCTAGATGCTTGTTTTGGGGTCATATTTCGGGATTCCGCCGAAGCCCCGCAACAACCCTCTGGAAGTCCATACCCTACGCTAATGTAGGGGATCTTTGTAAAACCTCCTCCAGTCTAGAAGTCCGCGGTCCATAGGCCTCGGAAGAAGAAACCGTATAGAATCCTTGATGTCAAGTTTAGGGTTGAGGGGTGAAATAAACATTTGCATAAAAATGCTACTAATGTACACCAGAGTACAAAACACAAAACAAGCCTGCGCAACGAGTAACTAGGAACGCAACAAAAACGACCCAAACAGAAACCGGACTAGTTTACCATACTATTCCCTAGGGCTCCTTATTCTCATGATGCGGCTATAGGCCCCCAACCCTATGCCAACCCGTTAAAGGAACCCACCACCAAAAACTAATATACTCAAAACCCTAAACCCTAACGACCCACCACACCCTCTAAAAGCGGCTACGGAGGTCAATGCCCCTTTTAGCAACCCTTATTAGACCTTTGGACACTTTAACTGGAAACCGGCTAAGGACCCTAAACCCTAAACTCGAGTCCCTAAACCCTTATCCTTAAACCCTAAGCCCTAATCCCTGCACCCATATAAGTACGTAGGACCCTTGAAAAAGAAGCGGCTATAAGGACCTAATGAGCCTGTGAAGCAGGGCCCCTATACCCTTAAACTATGAATCCCAACATGGCATCTGAACCTTAAGCCCTTTTAGGTTTAGGGTTTAGGGTTTAGGGTTTAGGGGGGTTCATTGCGTCCTTAAGGAAGAACCCTCAACCCTAAGCCTCAAACCGCGGCTAAGGACGTCAACGCCCGGTCGGCGCCTTCGGGAATGTTCCTCTGGCAGTGCCGACTGGCTCGCGCCCGCGTGGCCCCTTGGCCTAAAGGCGTTGCTGTTATTTTTTTGGATTTGGGGTTTAGGGCCGTGCCAAGGTTGTGAGGGTTCCTCACTTTTGGCCTGCCCCTTTCATTACACAGGACCTCTGGACCGTGACGCATTCGAGTGAGTAAGTGAGTTTAGGGCCTTGAGTTTCTCGTGTTTTTGTTGCTTGTGTTTGGCGGGCTTTGGGGTTTTAGCGTTTAGAGTTTAGGGATTATAGGGTTAGGGATTATTATAGGGTAGACGGATCACAGGGCTTCAGGATTTAGGGTGTAGGGTGTAGGGATTATCGGGCTTTCGGGGTTTCGGTTCTTGGCCTTGAGCTTTTTGGTGCAAGCTGGTTTCGGGCCGGGGTTTAGGCTTTAAGATATTGGTTTTGGGTTTTAGGGATTAGAGGCTACAGAGTTTAGAAATCATAGGGTTTAAGGTTCCGGGTTTCGCTTGATACGGTTTTTGAGGGGTTCTTCAGGGGTGTCCGCAGGTAAGCTATTCTGAGGGTTCAGAGTTCAGTGTTTAGGGAGCTAGGGGTTCATTACGAACTCCATGAACACATTCAAGAGATCTCATATCAACATTTAGTTGGGAGGCCAAAACAAGGGTCATCAGGACTCTAGTCTCATATCAACAGGCTGCAACAGAGGGTCGTTAGGATTCTAGATAGGGTCACGGTTTGCTGATTAATATCAACCTGAGGACATAGTACAGGGCTTAGGGGTCCTTTGAAGTATATGGGACTTTCGGACGATGGTATAGCGTTTTGTTTAGACGGCAACCAAGAATCCCAAGAAGAGATTGCCACAGTGAGCTAAGGCCTAAGTTAAACCCCATTTCCTCTAAATTTTAGACTAAACGCAAACCCTTATTTGGGGGTTTCCGAACATAGGGGACCCTAATATAGTACCCTAAATAGTAGGATCCTTGTTATACGGACCCCCAAATAAGGTACCCTACTCTTCAGAAAGCCCTTCTTTCTAGACTTAAAAGCTCTAAGAACTGCTCGTGTTCAGTTACGGCTCCGGAGGCAGGAAATGCTTGGGTTAACACCAGAAAACACCCGCATCAAAACTTTACGAAACGCTCAGAACAGAACGTAACCCTCAATCCTCGAACCGTGATTTAAAAAAGACTCCGGATGAGGCCATGGTGGGATTTCCAGCCAGCACCATGATGCACCTCGGCTTCTAACTGCTCGGCGCAAAGCTGCATCCAGAGAACCCTGTGTTCAATCAAGTCTATAGGCTGTTATCGGGGGTTGCCGGTACTACCCGGTTTCTGTGAAGGTTGCATAGGGGATGTATTTTTTGAGTTCAGAGAAATCCAGCTAGGGGACATCATTCTCTCATTATGGTGTTTTCGATTCTCTGGGTTGATGCAAAACCTTACAGGAACTCGTTGAAGCATAGAGCCCGGAAGATGAACTTTCACAGGACCTGACGGCTTTCCCACACACAGTATTATGGGATTTCGAAGGGAGGGGGTATTAAGCCGGGAGGGTACCTTAGGCACTTAAAAGGGAGCGTTATATACCCTCCCTGAAACCCCCACTCCCTTTAAGGAGCCCAGAAACATAGACATTGCATAGAGGTTAGGGTTTAGGGGTTTAGGGTTTAGGGTTTTGCTTTTGGGTCCAAAGTGTCTTATAGCCGAACCGAAACCCGAAACCTAACCCTGAGCGCCTGAACCCATGCTTGAGCACTCAGAAGCGCAGCTCAGAGCTGCATACCATGAACCACGGAGGGTCCTTACGGTTTAGGGTTAAGGGTTAATATATAGTACCTATGTGCCAAGTGGATACTGAAACCATAAGTGAAATTCCGATATAGAAACCATATAGGTACCTGGGCTGCCTTGAATCAGACAAACCCCAAGCCCTCAAACCCTACACCCGCAAAATTCCAAACCCAATAGGGGACTCGAATAGCTCGCAGGCGGGAACAGCTGTCTCAACGAATGCTCGGGCTCTCTCATACAAAGTCCTGGAGGAAGAGAAGTAGCTCATTGTATACCGCGAACCCCTAAACCCTCAACGTTGAAGTTTTATACCTTAAGATCCCGAAACCCTATAAACCGTTAAACCGAAAGCCTGTAGACGATCCCTATACGCAACGCGAGATCGAGAGATAATATCTCCGACTAAAGCCTCAACTCTCAAATCTCAACTCCCGAGTCCTATACCACCATACAGGAGTGGCCTAACTCTGCAAGCCGCTAAACCCAATGAACGCAGGCTCTGAAACGTCGTTGTGACAAATCAGCAGCAGCCATGTTAATCCTACAAGACCGAACTATGAATTGTAACCCGAACACTACAGTAAAGCAATGTTTACAAACGAAAAACACACGCGCGCACACACACACCCACACACACACACACGCACACACACACACACACACACAGGAGTCGACTGAGGGCTTCCATGCCCGGCATCACCCCACTCGGTGGCGCGGCTTCTTCGTGTGGGGGTGAAGGTATAAGGGCCGATTGCTTAAGGGCCTTATTGGTTAAAGATTCGGGTGAGAAACACAGAACTTCTTCAAGGACCCGAAATGTTTTATGGGACATACGGAATACTTTATTATGGGTAATGTGGCATTTTGCTCACTACTCATCAATTGAGCTGTTGAGTTTATACCGCAGTACAAGTGCCCTCATGTTAGAATAGGGGTTAGGTGGTATGCTACACTGTGTTTATGTACGGATTCTGTAGAGATGAAGCCCTAAACCCTAAACCCTTAGCTCATGCTGACTATGAGGATGATGCAACGAGCTTTTGGTAGCTTCCTCTCCAGTGTAAACCTTGGAGAGGCAGGAGGAGAAGGATAAGGAGCTCCGTTGCAGTCTGGCTGCTACAAACTGAAAACCCTCAGCGCAGTAAAACCTCTGAGCCCTGTACCTCCAGCCCAATTTTTGTTTAAGGTCTTTGGGTCTGTTGTGTCGTGTTTGGCTCATCGCTTCTTGGGGGGGTCACCAGACGATATGTGTTCGCTTGCCGGGGGAATTGGTACTGTAAGGGAGTTGAGTTGCTCTTGTGTGCTGTTGGGCTGCGACTACAGCCCCCAGTTAGACCCCCCAAGCCCGAACTCTAAACCCTAGCACCTAAGCGCAAACCCCTAAATCTAAACCCTAAACCCGAAAACCAAAACCGAGCTAGGCTACAAGCCCTTAGCCCTAAGCTCGGCGAGCCAAAGATTG